CTATGCACCAGGGAAAAACGTAGGGATATCTGCAGAGCCCCCCATCTCCAGTGACAAGTTCACTGAAGCAGAATAGAAAAAAAAAAAAATACAGCCTAGGTGCACTGCTTAAGATACACAAAACCTCATTATTTTCCAGTGAAAAGCACCTCCGTGCAAAGAGCTTTTCTGATGAGTGAAATCAAGGACATTCCAAAATGATTCATGAGTGTGTAACCTGGCTACAGCTGCAGTAAGATGACTGTGCCTTGACAGGCTGGGATGACAGGCTGAAAGATGAGCTCCTAATGAAACCAAGCTCAAAAGCAAAAGTAGAGAAAGCTCTAATGGCTGATAAGTTAACATAGAAAAACTTAAGCTATAACAGCAGATGGGAGTGCTCTGGTGCGCAGTCATGACCTGCACGGTCATGTAATAAAACAGGTATCTGTAATAAAGCAGATATGAATAACAGTCTCATGAGCACACAGAGGTGAAGGTACAACAGCAGGACGCGGTATTACAAGAGAAGCAAATGTTAGAACACAGCATGTTTGCAGCAGAGGTGGATTGCACTATGCAAAGCAAAAAGCGTGCTCAGCGAGAGGCAAGATGTATGTGAAAAACTACATATAAACCCATTCTGCCTGTGTTCACTGCAGCTACACTAGCAGACAAGATCAGGGTGTACAGGGTAGAAACAGTGATGTAGATGGTTTGGGTCTGGTTGGTTTTTACTATGGGGCAAAATAAAATAAAGATGGTGATAAGGCATTTGGAACTCCCCATCTTAACAGATCTTACAGAAATTTCCATAACATTCAAAATCTGGACACAAATAGATTTCAGCATAGTAAAAGAAAAAGTCTAAACATGAACACTGTCTATGTGAATAAGACTAGGAATTTAAACAGTCACCATATGCAAAAATGCTATATTAAAATGCAGGTGCAGTCAATGATAGGAAAATGTCAGCATCCAGGCCTTTTCTATAATAAATGTGTATTTTGCATCAGTACTAGAAAGAAAAGTCTTAAAACTGTTGAACTCAATAACAAATCCACTGGCAGTGGAATTCATAAAATGAAATCTCCCATCAGAGGAAACTGAGAAAAGGTGTCCTGATTCATTTAAAATCTTACCGAGACTTTGCAAAGCCATGTTATCAACAAGTACTGCTAATAATAAGGACCAGAATAAAGGAGAGATGTCATCTTAAAAGGGAATTGTATATTTTAGAAAAGGCCGAAGAGCCATTGGTATAGGTGAGAGAGACACAGATATAAACAGCTCCTTAAGAACCATGCAGAACAAGGATACTGCTGCCTACCAAGCCAAGGACACCAGCTAGAAATCCTTGCATCAAAGACATCAAATACAAAAACCAAACGCTGCCAGTGTGCTGCTTCCTAAATCATGGGAAGAGACTATTTGAATTAGAGCTATATTTGACCTACAGACTGTATTTGAATTACGTAAGAGAAAAAGAAGAGCTAATAGTTCACCCACTGCTTCCTACTAATACAGAGTTATCCCCATCCTATCTATTTGTTTCTGGACTGTTTTAGAAATCCCGAGTGACAGATTATTCACGAAGGGACATCATTATTATTATTATTCCTCAGTTGAGCTTCTTTCTTGGCTTTCTGCTAATATTTAACCTAGCATTTTAAAATTATTTTTACTTGTCTGCTACTTGAATAACACCCATGCACAAAACATCAGAAAGCCCTATTTCAGTGAATTAGTTATTCACTACATTGCGGTAATCTAGCTGTCTTAGAGACATGTTACTGGGTTCTTTGTAAGTTAACCTTCATCAGGGAGAAGGGATGACTCACTGGAGATCAGGCAGGAGAGCACGATACACTAGGTGTGGCAGATAGGAATATCGGTAGGCAGGTTGTGATATTAACAGCAGCAGCAGCAAAATCAGAGAGTCAGCTCACACTAAATGTGATCTGGGATGCCCCGAGTATGACGTTTTAGAGAAGTTTTTTAAGCAGTAACCTGGACTAAGTAAGTGAATTTTATTAGACCAGGATGCATTTATTCTTGTAAGAGCTAGCATGCGTACCTGCAGGCTCTTATTCAGAGCTTCTGATGATGGTATTTTTTACTTAAATTATTGTTTTGAAGTTTCCCTCCTTATTTATCTGCATGCAGCTGGGACACAGTAAGGTATGTTTATTGCCAAGACGTGGAAGACAAGCGCTAAGCCTGGAGCTCTGCTAGCTGTAACACCGGGATGATTCCAGCAGCTTTGTGGGCATCACCATGCAGCAGCCCTGTCCCTCCTGAGCCTTATGTTTCTGTTCAAGGGTGAGAAAAAAGCTGTCCGTTTTAACCAGCTTGGGTCAGGAAGAAAGCAGAAGCTACAGGTTGGAAGCTGTGTTTGGTTTCCCTTTGCTGCCCAAGAGATAAGTGTAAACAAGGAGGAAGATACTATCGATGCTGGCAGGCCAGGAGCTGAATGGGCACTTTGGGCTGAGCTGCAGATATGTCTACACGGCCTAACGAGTTAGCCCAGTGCTCCACGCGGGCCAGCTAGCTCTGCTGAGACACAGGGCACATCTGGCCAGATGAAATTACACTGCAAGCCAGCCCTCATGGTACCTGAGGTAGATCAGCCAGAGCTGGCTCCTGTGTTTTGTACAGCACGATACTGCACTGCACGGACATGTCCCGTCTTCCCATTGCACGGCTTGGTTCTTCTGGGTTAGGGCTGAAGCTTGCACTGATAATACCTGTGTTGCATCCCTTCTGTGAACAAAAACTCTAACAGGTCTCTCAACAGAGTCCTGTAACCTCATTTAATTCAACCTCTACAGATATCAGCTTACAGCATTTAAGGCTAACCAAGTATCTTGCTATTTTTGTCAAAAGTCTGGAGCTATTATTTTGCTGGAGTTCCTTGGCTTCCTGGTATTATGTTTTATTACTGTTGCACAGAGCATACCACGTACCTTGGGGAGCAGTAAATGCTACTGCATGAAGCACATCAGCACACCGTTCTGCAAGTCTCACTGGAGACACCATTACGGAGCAAGACGTCCAGCCAAGATCACCTTTGGTGGGTCACTCACCAGCAAACTGTGAGGGTGCCCAAGGCCCCAGATCATATTGCCTGCCTGAAGGAATTGAACATCTTGAGTGACAGCTGAAAATATGTGTACAGTTCAGTCTTTACAACCTTGACCCCCTCTGCAGACTGCTGGAGGACCTGCAATCCCCAAAGTGCTTTCTGTAACTCAGCCCTGCAGTTTTACTCAGATGCCATACATACTATTAATTTTAAAAACACCTGGTTTTGACATATTCGGACCATTTAAAAAACAGTCCCGGTCTACACAGCTGCCACCCCTTGCCTTCCCCCTTCCTTGTCTGCTTGATCTGCTCTGGGGGCTCCAGTGACATCCTCCTCTTAAATAACGCCAGTTCAAGCAGCTCCTGCGGTGTCCCCTGGTCCTCTTCGCCTTTCCCCTCATCCCACTTCCTATGTTCCCATACTGTTCCTGACATTCCTCAGTAATCACTCAGTTAAATTAGACCCTGTTCCCAGCCCCCACAGAACAGGCTCTCAGGTAAACATGTGATCCCAAAATCACATCCACCTTCTTTCCCTCTTGGCCAGAGCTTCCCACACAGTTTTGCAAGTCCTCCTATCAATAGCTAGTTTCTTTGCTCTTTGGAAATTTTCCATTCCCTTGATCTCTAGCCCTCTGAAAAGGCCTTTGGATCAAACCACCTCTTCCAGGTTTCAGCTGGCGTGGGGCAGTTAGCGACTCCATGCCTCTCATCTGCCAGAGACAAGCTTCAGCCTGTGTCAGCAAACTGAGCATCCCTCCTTCATGTAGGAGCATTTTGCATTACAGCACTTTCCGTAACAACTCCATAGCATCAGGCAGAGTTAATGAAGTGTACTGCAATAGACTTCCTACAGCATCCCACAGGAGCAGGGTGATTTCCAGCAGAAAGTGTAGAAAAGCAGCTACCTCCAAAGAACGTGATATACCAACCCGCCCATGTCACACCTTATACTTACCTTTTCATACCTCTGCATCTCGAAAACTGACTGGGTTCAGGCTATGCCAAATACTATCTGAAAAACTCTGCTGATAGTATTTCTGCTACGATAAAGCAGTTTATTAAAATCACAAGAAACCCCATTTCAATACCTGTTTCAGATTCTACTTAGCAGATTCAAAAAGGTTGCTCAAATACACCAGTTGTTGAATGGGAAACTGGAAGCGTACAGCCAAGATTTAGACTTGCCAGTACTCCTGGGCAGGAGTCAGACGGGACCGGAAGGGCAGGAATTTTGCGGGAGGGCTCACGAGTTGAGGTAAGGTCACAAACCCCACCACACTTGTATTCAAAACTTTGAAACAGGAGAGGGAGACAGCTGAGGGCTTTAGGATAGGATCACAGCCTGCAGTCGCTGGCAGGATTCCGCAGGGCTCGAGGAGTGAAAGGGGGGAAAAGAACTGGTCGGGAGAGAGCCACTTTCAGCACAGGCAATGGGAACTGCTAATGAAGGACAACAGGAACTAAAACGAATTATTAAGAGCGCCAATATTTTATTGGTGAGTTCGACATCTGGTTAAACAATACGTACGTTTGAAGCTTGGCATCCAGTAGCTCTCGTATACAAACCATCGCAGTACCTCAGCAAATTCACAGGGCTGAAGGAAAAGCCATTTGAATGCTGTAGGCTCCCAGGAGCAGGGCAGACAGCAGTAGGCAAGCAGGTTAGCTGGGAGGAATGGGAGGGGGATGGAGGAGAGCACGGGATATCCAGCTCTAGGCACCTGCCTTCCCTAGCTCAAATTAACCAGCTAATTTCCCCAGGCGCTCTCTATAGAAACAAGCTTCTCCAGAGGGTGATTCACTGCACAATGTTATGCTGCTGCTCTACAGAGCTCCTGTGAATTTTTTCCCCATTTCTTAGAGGAATACTGCTCTCGCCAGCAACTGCAGAGTGCGCCCAGGGAGATGTGGTGGCTAATTTTGATGCCTATAGATGGGGAGGGTGAATCTCCCTTCCCTTTGCCCTCCCTCCGCAGCTACCCATTGTGAATTAGCGTGTGAACAAGTGGTATTCATCCCATATTGACAGCTGAGGAGTTTGTCAAGAAACAGGACCTCTCATGTGCTGTTACACATAGCAGATAGATATACACAGCAGATTCTAATTTCATTCCGATCCCAGATGGACTTTTTGCATTTTGCCATAAACCCACATTTTCCCCTCATACAGCATCAGATATGCCCAGGCAATGTTCATCACATTGGTAAAGAAATCCCTGTGAATGCTCAGTAAGGTGTCCATTTGGGTGGACAAGTGCATGATCTGCCTGCACAAATCTGCTGCCAACCCACATGGATTTCAATCCATTGAAGTCAATAGGAGGGTTTTCACTGATTTTAACAGATAGAGTAGATTTAAACAAATTTCACACGCAGAATTCATTCACCTATCAAGCTCCAGTTGCTCCTAAAATCTGACTGATTTGGGAGAAAATACACAGTCTTTCCTTCCCTGTTTCCAACTAACTGAACTGTATCCAACTTCTGAATGAACATGATTTACCCAGAGGAAGCCTTTTTTCCATCAATATTGACTGGCTGTAATTATGTATATGTTCACAACATGTATGCTCCCTTATTAAAAAATTGCCCAAGTGATAATGTGGAAAAGAAATGGTGGCTCTGTGTTTGAAAGAAAAACTGCACAGACTGAAGCTTGCTGCTATATTAATATAGCACTGACAGATGCTGTAATTAGAAAGTAGAAGGCAAACAGAGGAATTGTTAATAGTTTTGTGCACTGTTTAGGCTCGTCCTAAAACTAAAATGCTTCTTTAGGGAAGTCATAATGCCTTCATACATGACCCTGGGACTACTGTAAAATGCTAAAGACCCATCCGCACAGGTATCATATGCCATAACCGCATGGCTATATTTGCAAATTGCTCCATTTTCTACAGTTCTATTATAATTTTATCACTATTTCTAATGAATTTAACTGTTTCTAGGAGTGCATTAGTTATTTTTTTCTTAAAGGCAGGATTTGTATTACTTTTAGCAGTGATCTGTTCACATGCTGAATTAGATACAGAACACAAATGAAGGACAATAATATGCTGCTTCCAGTACAAAAAAAGAAAAATATTTAGATTCAGTAGAAAGCAGGCAGGCAATGTGTTAGTTTAATGTACTGTTCTAATCTCTGCTGGAAAAAGATTTCTATGTTGGCACAGGGCACCAGAGAAATTAAGTGAGTGAACTCAAAATGGCATCTACCAAAGACAAGGTATTTCTTCTATTCTGGTTTGACACCAACATAGATTCTATTTGAAGGTAGATTATTTCCAATGTGGAAAAAAAAAACAAACAAAAAAACAACAAAAAGCCCCAAACAGGCACAACAACTAATTAGAGCAAACACACAGAACTATTCAGGGCATCTGGAAGAAAAGGTCAGGACTGTGGTGGCACAAGTTCTGCAGATGAAGTCAAGAGGTGGAAAACTCACCTAGAACTTCATTCTAGCTAATACTTCTTTCTAGCTAATACTACATGAATACTACTGAGACACATCTCATTGTCGGACGTATCTAGAGGGGAAAAAAAACCTCAGGAGGAAAAATCATATCTAGTATTTGCAGTCCTCCAGGATCTGCTCTCAGGGACATTTCCAGCTGAATCACAGGAAAGCTTGTTGCTGCTAGGTTCCTCTATGCCTGGAAGGACGGCAATGCATCAGAGCAGGGTAATGTTGCTTTGTTCTGGCGCAAATCAGAAGGCATGGGGTATAGCGCAGGCTTTCCAGCCCAACCGGAGAGCCTAGGAATCACAACTAGTCAAGAAGAAGGTAATGAAACAGAAATAGCAACTGCTTGATGGCAACAGTGAGCTCTAGCCCTACAGCTTTCCTGTCTGCCATGATGTTCCTCCTTCCCTAAGAGCAGTCTCAGGAACGGATTTTCTCTGGCTGCTCACAGTGCTGTTGGATCACCTCAGCAAGGTCAAGACACCGCAAAATTCGCCATTTCTCAGCAGCCAGCTCCTCCTTGGATACCTGGCCCAGCAGTTTTTTGGCAAAGAGGTTCTGATCCTGCATGAAAAGGCCCACAGCAGACCTTGGGACTTGAGGGAAGTTCTCCAAGCAACCAGTTGTGAAACAGAAGTTGATTTTCTTTTCACGTCTCATCCCTGGTCCCCTTTCTTCAATCCAAGTCAGAGGTCTAGCGTGGAGGAGCAGAGAAAAAGAAGAGTATTTATGAAGAAATGGAATCAATGGTTCTAGTTTATACTTTTTTCTCAGCATTTACAGAAAATGCCCTAATAAATGCACCATTTTTAAATTTCAGTCATTGCATATTCAGGTAACATGTTCTGACCAACATGCCTTGTGGTTACGAAGTTGAACACCAGGTAATAGCCTTAACCCTGCCACTGCTTAATGCCATGACTTTCAGCACACCATCTAAGCTCTCTCCAGCTTTGTCTTCCCTATGCACAAAATGAAGCCAGCAATGTCTAGCCATCTCACAGGGAAGAGGGAAGTTTACTCTGTTTGTGGACTTTGATGAAAAGTGCAGTTAAACATCCAAATATTTTGTGCGTGATTCAATAACAGCTAAACTCACAAGGCCCTCAATGTCTAGTCATTCCTCCAGCAAGAATAAATTTACATCACTCAGGTACACAATGATGACCCAGGTGCTACCGTGCAAGTCAAACACCACCCCTTTAGGATGAGCTGGACAGACGGCAAGTTCGCTCGTGCAGACACTAGCGTCCGTACCCTCTGACCTTTTCAAATGCTTTTCTTTCTCTTCACTGGGAGCACTGAGTTGATCCTACAGATTACACCAGAAGATGTCAATTTTGCCTGTTTCAGCTACATAGACTCTCAGGCAAGTCTTTCTTAATCACAGTCCTGTCTTATGCCAACGTGATAGCCACAGCCTCCAGGCCAAGCATTGGTGGTGTTGGCTATTGACTGGCATAGCTCACAGGTCCTCACACTTTCCTCCCCAACTTCCCAGTTTGGCTGAGGAAAGAGGAGCCATGGGACATGCTGCATCACTTCAGGGGTCATAACAGAATCCCTGGCCCAACACTGCAAATGTTTGCAAAGGCTTTGAGGAACGGTCCTCAACACCAGCCACAGCCACGATCCTCCCTTCCTGCTCTTTTGTCAACTGCCATTACCTGTCTCCAGCTCATTCATCAGCACTCACTACTGCCTGTGTTTAGAGGATGCATATTATTTTTCTTACTTGGTTATTGATGGCCCTTCCACAGTCCTTTATGGCCCACTTTAGTCTGCCACTCACAAATTATGAGGGCATCAGTAGCATGGAAGAATAAATTCTATCTCCAAGTACTGCCCATTAAATCTTCAATATCATTAGATCTGGAAAGAAAGTCCATGTCAGTCTACCCTGAATATATTCTGCAGAGCACTCAGCTTAATGATTCTGCACCTCTCATCTTTTATGCTTTAGGATCCAGTTTCTATATTCACACCATTGTATCAATTATTCTTTGCTCACCTGTACTGCCACACACATCCTCTACAAATTAAGCATGGCAGATGAACCTGACTGAACAGCATAAAACAAGTGTGTGGGGGGGAAGGACTCTAATCACAGCCTGCAAGAATGCACTGAAAAAAATCCTCGGAGGACTAATAAATGCAAAGACACCATGCATTTCGGGAAGTCCCAAGGCTATGTGTCACTGCAGGCCAGAAGGGTGCTTGAGGGCCATATCACTTGGTGTTTTCTGTGTTCTCATCCTCCTTCCCCGAGGTGCCGGCTGTTGACCTCAGTCAGAGCAAGCTGGGTTTTGCTCTGACTTGATAGAGACAGTTTCTTATATTCTTATGATAGCAAACAGCCACAGAGGGTTCAGGCCACTGTTATTCAAAGCTGCTTTGTCTCAGGTAGGCAGGTACAAAGAAACCACTGGGCAGGCATAGGCAAAGATCTCCACCATGTCGCAAGGAGTCCACAATATGATCCAAAACAGGCAGTGTCAATGCAGGGTCATCTCCCTGGGGTGATCTAGAGCAGATGCACACCAACGACCAGGCTCAAGCTTATGCCTTCTTCTGCTCTAGTTCGGGGAAGCCACTGAACCGGAAGCACAATCACGCAGAGTGGGCAGAATTTAATCAAAGTGATTAAAATGACTGATTTAGATCAGTGAGCAGGAAAATATTGGGTTTACTAATAGATTTATCATCTTCTGCTATTGGATTTTTAGTTATTTTCCCAAAGAGAGGTTGATTCAACTTGATTGGTAACCAAAACGTATTAATTTTTAATTAACAACAACTTCTACACTAAAATTAGCCCCTTTTTTGCTATAAAGATATGTATGCTGCAAGTCTGCACATTATTTAAGCAATTTTGTAGCTTAAGAAACAGGTTTGTATTTTATGTCAGAAAATTGTGAAGGGCTGCTGGTTTTTTAATAGATATTTTATCCATTTGCATTAAAGACTTGTATCAAAGTATTATCTGGCTGTGGATGTAGTCAGTTATTTAGAAGTGTTAGTAGTGTTATTTAGAAGCAACAAATCCAGCATTTTTGGTAGCTGAATAAAGCCACATTAAATATGTTGGACAGTTAAAGAAGAAAAAGAAAGCTTAACCAAACACTAACAAACCACTTTTACACTGACTTTTTACAAAGCAAGCACTATCTGCAGTGAAGAAACCACCCTGACTTTCTATGGTCATTCTGTCTTTCCAGATTTCAGACTGGTAGAGCTCTCCTAGCTACATTTTATTCAGAGACTGGAAGTGACTTTCTGCTTTTCTGATTCCCTGTTTCCTCAAATAATGAGTGGTCTTAGTTGGACTGTGCTAGCTCAATAAACCAAAATGAAGTGAACGCTCTTTGTACCTGCAGAAGAATTAAGCCGATTTCATGCTTGAAAGAATTCTGGGTCCACTCAGCTTAACATTTTATGCAGCAACTTCTGCAGAAAGCATGTCTTACATGATTTTTTATGGATGTTCAATTTGAAGCTATTTTATTAGACCTCCTAAGCTTAGATCTCAATAAAAAAATATAATTTCAAATGTTTGTTGTCAGAATATGTGTTCAGAAAGGTCTTCAATTTTTTTTAAACATCTGCTGGTTCATGCTTTGAAAATGCTAATATTTTTTATTTACAATGCAGCCTAAAAGGGGCTACCTTACCTTGGATGGGAATCAGACAATTAGACCTTACCCCTAGTTAACATCAAAAGAGATGTTGCCCAAATCATTATCTCTCCAGCTCACACTAAAATTCATTTTTGACATTTACTGAATCCAAGCTCTGTAATCCTGGGACAGGAACTGCAGTCCCAAACCAGCCGTGCTGTCAGTACCGGTTTGGCTTTTCCTGGATTGCTCAATGTTTTATCACAGAGAGGCTGTCAGCTCAACTGTCTTGGAAACACAACAGAGGCAGGAGGTCATCTCTCAGATAGCTGGGCGTCAGGCATTAACACACACCTCCAAAATCCACCCGGAGACAGATGAGCAGCCAGTGCAGGCTGTGCAGCGGAGACAGACTTTTATAGCCTTTGCACAAATCCCTGCTTAACAAGCAGAACACAGGCTCCTGCATTCTGCACCTGCCGTATTTTCCAAGGCAGAAAATAGGCTGAATTAACCTGATTTCTCAAGGTTAGCGTATTCATGTCTTTCGAAAAAGGATGGGATAGCTCTCAGGAAAGGTGCAGACCTTTCCCATCCTTCAGCAAAATAAAGGCTGGGCAAATTAGAGCCGTACCACCACCACCATTACTGCTGGGCCATAACTTCACTTGACAGAGAGTGGGCCAAATTCTCTACTGCTGTAACTCCACTGACGTCAATGGGGGAAGGTCAGCA